GATGGCGAGTGTAGCAAATGAGAGGGACAGGTTTTGCTGACTTCCACGTGTCCCCCAGACGTGTCATTGTAGTTCCCGTAACTGCTACATGCGGCTGCAGATCAGCAAATAAATTGTTTTTCTTTGCAATTACGCAAAAGAATGTTGTCGCAACCGTTTATAATGAAGTCGGTTTAAACGAAATAGCGGCTATAACGAAGCGATCCCGACTTCCCATTCCCATTTGCACTTTTTCAGTGTATTTGTGTCTGATTTTAGCGAAGAAAAATGGACAAATCCCGCAAATATAGCAAAAAAATTTTTTTTTTAAAGTTAAAAAAAAAGATTGATTTTGGAAAGTTTACCAAGTCGCAGACGGCCGCACTTTGTTGGCGCGGTTGAGAAGCCACCCAGAACGCGCTGCAGACGTGCCCTGCAAAGGTTGCCAGTGGCAGTCTCTGCATCGTCATCTGCACTTTCCTCCTTATCAGGGAAGCAACTTTTCCTTACGCACGCGGAGAAGCCGTCGTGGCGTGCCAATAGGGGTGCTCGGGACAAGGTACCGATATCTACCGAAGGAGACAACGAAGAGATCCTAGGATTTAAGAAAGGGAACTAACCCAATTATTGAGAGCAATTGCAATTTAATGGCAGACGCCTCCTGGGCAGGTTGACCTAAGTGCGCCTGTAACTGGTTGTCTTGCGGCCAGCGTGGCAAGGAAAGCGGGTGGAGAGGTGGACATGTTTCCAGACCGTGAACGCTTTTGATTTCTTGCAATCTGCAGCTCGTTTTCGAAACACTTCTCACAAACCACATGACCTCGATCGAGCAGTTACCCCCTCTGGAGTCTAGGCTGTCTATACCGACGAAACACGAAATTGAGAGCGAACTCGGTGCTATGCGCTCTTTGTTTGCTTCATGTTCCGCAATGGCATCACTAGTCAGTGTGGTCGCTCTCGGGGCAAAAGCCTATCTTCGGTCAAGCACTGATTCGGCGACTCTTTGCCAACTTGCCACTCAACGATGGCCAGTCCCGGCTCTGCCGGCACCTCGACAGGGAAGACGACGGCAATCTCCTTAAAGCAAAATCGTGCCGCCATCCTCGACGAAGCGCCATAAACGTAAAGAATGCCATCTACCGCCAACGTCCTCAGCGGCGGCCATCGCACTTGTTGACACAGTCTGTACGTAGCACACAGGATCTCCTTTAGATTGGAACTTCTCGCAGTTGGGGAGAAGCAACTCCGATCTAGCAGAGAGCACGTGCAGGGAAGCCTCGACTGCTTTCTGCAGGCACCATAAACAAGTGCCCGTAAACGAAGTTGTCCTCGTCTTTTTGCGCGCTGTTCCTAATTTCTGAAGTCATTTCCGACTCCCGTTGACTTTGAAGCGTACTGAGCTTCAACTAATTTATTTACACTATTCACATTAGGTTAAATCTGAGACAGGACGAGCCGACCTTGCGGTTGCCGTTGTTCCTCAATGTCTGTCCTGTCTCGAGCTCCCAGAGAGGCCGTGATCGAGCGGGCACTTCTTTTATTTCTTTCGCGCTTCGCTGAAAGCCGCTACAACTTCATTATAATTGGTCTCGACAGTAGCAATTTTTCGGGGCAAGGTGACCCGTTCAGTCACTTGTGCCTAGATAAAATATAAAAAATACAAACTGCAAATTCTTTTAACAATAAAATTGTTGCACTACCCCTTTAGGTTTGCCGCAGGTTTTCTAGTTCCTTGTCAAACAAACAGGGCATCTTTCTCGTGTCTGGTGTTTCGTCAGTACCTTGTATGAGCACGCACTTTTGTTCACCCCGTAGGATTTTCGCAAAGTTTGGCAACCAAAACTTGTCAAAACGAAATAAAACAAGTGTTATGCAGCATGTACACATAAGTAAGATAGAGCGAACCAGCACTCTTCATTGTTCCTGTATACCGGTTGGTAAGCGGGCTTACTGGCGTAAGCAAGCAGGCGTCGGGATTGAGCCCAGGACCCCTGAATTCTGCAGCGCGAGCTTTTGCTATAGGTGTTCAAAGCTAATATGAGCAACCCCCCCCCCCCACTAGGGCCAGCGGTAACTGAATGCAATTTAAACTGAATTTGACTTTGTGCCATAGCATGTACTATCGGAGAAAAATGAAATGCGAACAGAGGAGCGCGTGGCTCGCGGTACAGGCTGCGCCGCCTGGAAGTGAACCTAGGGGCGAGGGTGCGTGGCCTACTTCGATGTGTTCACGCCCCTCGATTGGCGCTCCCCCAGCTTCGGCAGTGCGCCTCTCAGTGTGCTGAAAGCTGTCACCGCTATCTTTGCCTGCTCGGCAAGTGCGGCGAGCTTCTTTGCACCGCACGCGCTGAGCCAGCAAAGATAGCGGTGATAGCTTTCAGCATACTAAGAGGCGCACTGCTGAAGCTTGGGGAGCGCAGAGGGAGGGGCGTGAACACGTCGGAGTAGGCCACATACCCTCGCTCCTAGGCTCACTTCCAGGCGGCGCAGTCTGTACCGCGAGCCACGCGCTCCTCTGTTCGCATTTCATTTTTCCCCGATAGTACATGCTCTCATTTCAATGTATCGCATCCACGGTACGATTTTTCAGCATCAGAAGGGTTTACGTATCAATAGCCTCAAACTGTAGTGCTGATGAATTCCACAACATTTTTTAAGTCGACACCGCATTCCTACGAGGAGTCGCACAAAAAAAAAGAATTCAATAGATCGACCACGGTGGAATTTGCCCTGTAAGTCGGTCCCAGTGCTGCAGTAAAATCATGGGCTTGTGTGTAAAAACGGGTGAAATGTAGCAAGAGACGTGAATACGCCTGCATGCTTGGCGATCTCGGTTCAGCACCTCAACTGTGATCCTCAGACAGAGAGATGAACTGTAGCAAATCCGCGTCCGTCACACCCAAACCCAAAATGAAACCGAAACCAGAAAAGTCGGTAACTGAGCCGTTAGCTCCCCCTAGCTTTCTCTTCATTGCCACAGAAAGTTGTCCCCGAGTATAGCAGATTCGGCCACCATTCCCTCTCTTGGTGAGTCAATTGTCAACATACAAAACCTTGTTTCTGATGTTGCTCATACTGTCTTTTTCCAAAAACACCTTGAATGTTGCACAGGTTCGTCAATATGCAAACTACGGATTCGGTTTTGTGCGATAGATTTTTTGCGATCAATCACAACAACGAAGTTATTTGTACTATGAAAAATTTCACCACTCCCAGAGACTTCTGTTGTATAGGCATTTGACAGTATTATCTATAAGAAGTGGTCATTTATAACAGAGTAAAAAGTTTTTAAAGCCAAGAACGAATGATGTGCAAGAAAGAATAGAAAGTGTACGGGAAGTGAAAGAGTTCCACGGCCACCAATCGTCGTAAGAGATGACAAGAGGATTTAAGGCACACAGCCGTAAGCAGTCGCAAATGTGCGAACCAGCCCTCTCCGTCGAAGCTTTTAGCTTCGAAAATCCTGACACATTTTTCAGGGTTGGGCATACAGAAAGGCAACCTCCCCACACGCTTTGTCAATTGGTTGAAGTACATTCGGGATCAGACGATTTCATAAAACTGGCAATAATGTGACGAGCGATGCTGCACCCCCTCGAGGCTTGCAGCATCCCTATTCTTTGGCATGGCCCTCTGCAAGCGCACATCAATGATTCAGCTTCAGTAGTCAACTTGGATAACAGTGGAAGAACACGGGCGGCATGAAACTGATTAGACTTTGTTCAATCGGGCTTCCGCAACAGGAACTGGCCTGTCCGCAGCCAAATGAGTGCTGAGGGAGCACAGTTCTAGTCGGGATCCCGGAATCATTTCAAAGCAGTGTTCAAGTTTCCATTTAACGTGATGTTGTGATTGCCTAGTGGTGTGATTGCTAGTGGTTTCCCAATTTGCCAACTGAATACTACATTCCTTTCCCATTTAAGGGCCTACCCAGGGGGAGAGAACCAAGTGCTATGCCTGATCACATAGCAGTTCATGGTAATTTCCACCTGTGCATTTACTCGCCAATTCATGAAGCTAAGTCTACGAGACAAAAGAATGTCCATTAATCACTAAACCAATATTTTCTTTAAAGCAGTCTTCTTCCCTAACACTATAAACGAGTGAAACAAACTCCCTAAAAGCTCTGTTAGCCCAGTATCACTGACCATATATAATTGCACACTGCTTGAGTGCTTCTTTGTCAAGTAGTTGCCTTCATTGCACTGTTATGCTTTGTGTTTGATTTAATGTTGAGCATATTTATTTCCTGCCTTCATACAGAATGCTGGCAGTTGTGGGGATTCCTCTCGTCTCCCTTCCCCGATGGATGCGATAACGGTTGCGGGTCGGAACACTTGGCCTCCTTCACCGTGAGCTCCGACCTGTTTGTGAAGCGTAGGAAAGCCGCCTGGCTTGGGGGGCTCTCCTTCTCACTCTCTCCCGGGGGGACCTTTTTCCGTTCACCCGCTCGGATGCGGATCACTGCTAACAGGCGAGGAGGTTTCGCCTCTTGTTTTCCCCGCTTTCGGGAAAGGGGACTCGTCCAGGTGACCGCGAAAAAGATAGGACGTGTATCGGCGACTTCTCCGATGATTCCCATGTCTTGGCGCTCCGGAACCCCGCGTCTGGCAGGTAAGGACCTTTTCTTACCTTGCCGGGCGGGGGGCATTTCGGATGGGGACATTGTAGTTCGTTTAAAAGAGTATGTTAATAAATGCTCTTGGACTCTGTCCTTACTCTGGTACGTGTGTCTTCTCTTCTGCTATATTCGAGAGAGTGAGACAAGGTAGTCAATCATTGGCACCGACGGAGGTGATTAATCCAACCGACCCGCGGTAATGTAGCCCTAAACGTCGTCTATATTATCGCGGAGATGTGGGGACCGCGGGCTACTAGGTTGGACGTCTCCTTTGAGATCGCCGCCGCTTTTGAGACAACCCTTTGGTTACTCTAACGGTACCTCTGTTGGTAGCTAGCGAAATCCCACACAGTATATATACAAATAAACAAGTAAAGCAAGCAGAGGCCAAAAGAGTCACCAGGTGCCACCCAGCTGGCAGGTGAGGCGCTCACGCAGACCGTCCGCAGACTCGAGCTCCAGGCGGGGCCCTGTACTCAGCCCAGTGACCACGGCCTTCACGCTCCTAAAGATGGGCTCCACTCGTTGCTCCAAGCACTCGCTGCAAAATGGGAAGGAGTTTAAAGGAGTCATTAAATGTTTTTCCAACTTTTTCCTGTTTAGCTTTCCTCCTCAACTCATAAATCACGCATTCTACCAAACAGTTCAAAGGGGGGAGCCCCTCTTGCTCAGACTATGGTTTTTGTACCCGTGCACAGCCATTCTCCCCCTAGAAGATTAGCCCGTCGCTCAAAATTCACACAAAAGTTGCTTTCCCCAACCCGTTCACCCCGAAGCTGACAGTGCTGTGGAAGCTACGTGCCCGTTGGGCCAGTCACACTTTTGCCACGTGATCACGCTCTCTCGTGTATACCCACGCACAGAGAATAAGGTCAGGTGATGAAAGGGAGGCAACTGATTGGTCCGGCAAGCGCGTAGCTTCCGCTTAGGGGAAGCTACGCGCTTGCTTAGGGGTGTCAGCTTAGGGGTGAAGGGATTAAGTGAGGTCCGGTGTCGTGTGACGTCCGTTTGGGCCTGGTTACGCGCTTTGGGGACCGCGGATGTATCACAGTGAAAAGGCAGAGAGCTTACGAAGGGAAGCAGGTACGAAATAGTCCGCTGTGTTTTCAAATTTTGGCACTGAAAGTCAGGCTTTTGACTTTCTACCTTTTTTTCTTTTGGCCCACTAAACGATGGGCTATTAGTAAAATCCTAATACAAATTGATTTATTCCAGCCCAAAATTTGTTTCATGGGCCCTTTAAGCCCCAGCACCTACGACGTACGCCATTCCTCTCTTCGTATGCACACAGAAAAACTCTGCCATTATGAAACTCAACCTTTGATACATTTTCCCAATAGCATCGTGCGGGGCAAGTAAGGAGCTCCAGTAAAACCTCTTGTGTATTGGTATCAACTGATTTCCTTTATTTGCCGTCGTTTCCAGGCCATCGTAAATGAATTGGTTTCCCTTAATGGATTTTATTCACCGTTCTTTCCAGGTCGCCACAGCCAAATCCACTTACTATATAGCCAGGACGTTGAACCAGTCATTATTCCAGTTCGGCTTGGGTTCAACTTTTTATTTTGTTCTAGTTCAGTTCAGTCATGCATGCGAAATATCAGTTCGGTTACCAACTCCACCAAGCGAGGAGAACCAGTTCAAACCGGTTCATAACTCGACCTTAGGCCGTGACTGCCGGTGCATTTTTTGTGCTAAACAAACCTTCGTAGCTCCGAGTCACTAAGAAAAACAGTGTGTTCAACTCTGCATTATCAGCATTAAAAAAAAAATTGCCCTTTAGTCATGCTAGCGTGGCAAAGGCAGTGGTAACACAACGTGATATGTTAGTGTGGGGAAGCTGTGTACACGTGTGAAGACTGGATGGCACATTGTAGCCCAGTGTCGTGCAAGTTAAGAACGTGAGCGCTCCGTGGATCTCTTCCTTGTGGGTGCCATCTTCTGCAGTTTAATGTAAATGCAACATTCTCAGAGTCTGTTGGAGTGTGAGAAACAGTAGCTACAGCGAGTGGAAAACGGACCGATTAGAACGCTGCAGTGCCAAGCAGACCCTGGCACCAGCTCATAGCAAAAGAGAATCAAGAGCATCTGCTTTCTTTCTTTCTCCTTTTCTGACGCTCTCTCCTGCGCTTTTTCTCTGAAGAAGCCCGGAGCAAGCTATTTTCGTGGAGCAGAGCACCGCTGTGTGTCTGAACATGTGATGGTTTTAACCTGGTGGAGGTTACATGAAGGCATTCGAGGAAGAGGTTTGGCTCACACTCGTGTCCACTCACTGAGGAGACAAGCGCTGAGTCAGCATTCGGCTGACAGTCAACCTGTCAACTTCCGTTGCTGGCACCTAACAGGTGCCAGCCATATAACATATTTCATGTTAGCAATATAATAAAACCAGTTTCCAGAAGCTGTGCTGCAGAAACGAGAACAGCAAAACAAATAATGTAGCGTTTGTTTATAACGAAGTTAGTTCTAACGAAATAATGGCTACAGCAAAGCAATCACGATTTCCCATTCCCGTTTGCACTTTATCAAAGTAATTATGTCTGTTTTTAGCAAAGAAAATTGAGCAGCTCCCGCAGATATAGCAAAGAGAAATTCTGTGATCATTTTAAAAAATAATCAAATTGGGAAAGTCTACCAAGTCGCAGACTGCCGCACTTTGCTGCCGCGACCGAGTAGCCACCCAGAGCGGGCCGCAGAGGTGCTGAAAAAGCCGCTCTGTAGAGGCTGCTGCTGCTGACAGCAGCCTCAACATCACCGTCTGTTCCCTGTTCCTTATCTGGGAAGCGGCTTTTCCACATCACACGCGAAGAAGCTGTCGTGGAATTTCGGTAGGGGCACTCGGAGCGGTAGTGACAACCTACCAATGGAGATGACGGAGAGAGCCTAGATTCTAGAGAGGGAGAAACTCCAGCCATGGAGAGAATTTAAAATAAAATGGCAGATGCGTCCTGGGCAGACTAGCACAAGTGCACCTGCATTTGGTTGTCGCATGGCCAGCATGGCAAGGAAACCGGGCGGAAAGGCAGACATGTTTGAAGACAGTGAACGCCTTTGACTCCTTGCAGGCTGCAGCTTGTTTTGAAAATGCGGTCCACAAACCCCGTGACCCCAATCGAGCAGTTGCCCTCTCTCTTAAATCTAGGCTCTCAAAACTGACGAAACACTAACTCAAATGCATGCTAAGTGTAATATGCACTTCTTCGTTTGCTTCGTGTTCCGTGTCGGCATCGCTGGCCGGTGTGGTTGCTCTTTGCGTGAAAGTCTAACTTTGCTCAAGCAGCAATTTTGCAAATTATCATCACTGAACGACGGCAATTCCTGGCTCTGCCACCACCTTGACGGGGAAGACGAAGGCAATCTTCATGAAACAAAAACAATAAAACAAAAGCAATTTCTGTGAAACAAAAAGTTTTGCTGTTAGGGATTGATAAAGATTGATCAGTGCTTGTATGCAGCAATCAATTCTAAACATGACCAAACATGAACGTACGCAAAACATTGTCTTTTACTAAATGATCCACCATCACAAACTCGCATCGGCTCGCCGAGGCGGGTTCGGCCAGAAACAAATTTTCTGGCGCACAAACCCAGATGGCAGTGCACCGTCCAAGTTTCCATACTCTGAAACCTATCTAGCTACTCCAGGCAAGAAATAGATGCAAGCTATTCGCGACTCCAGCGACCTATAGGGGGCGCCACCACCAAACAAACATGGCGGCTGAGTCCAGGTCGCGTCGGGTCGGCCGCGCCGCCTGAATGGGTGGCGCATTCAATTTAACAAATTTTCTTTTGTTGAATGCCCAATTTTATGGGTATTTGAACTGAGACTGTTAAGTGTAGCCGGTGCGCATAAACTTGCTGAGCATTGTTTTGTTTTGCCGGTGTTTTTTGTTCTTTTCATGTCAAACTTTCGTTTCGGAGACTTCGATCAAAACCGAAACTATGGGCTTCGGAGAAACGGTAATAGACTCTAATTAGTTTTGATCATCTATGGAAAGCGGCGAGGGCTACAAAATTGTTCCACCGAGAGTAAGTTTTAGCTAACTCGCATGCCTCGACCATGCGATTTATCTGTCCGCGAAATTGAGCTTTTGTGCCTGTCCGCGTTTCAAGAAACAGCTCCAGTCGTGTGCTCGGTCAAGAACACAGGCTGCAGGAAAATTACAAAAATTAAGCAAGCGCTTCTTGAGCCAAGCAGCATGTCAACTCACTGGCGCTTCACTAAGCAAGTGATACTCGTATTTCAATTCAGGTTTTAGTAGCAATCGAGAAGTCATTTTGACGAATATGCGGATTATGTATTATATTACGTACTATGTCCCACTAAAGCGATATTAGTATATTCTTCGGGTTGAAATATGAACTTAGTTAACTAACTATTAGGTGAACTGCTGAATAAAAGTATATTTGACAGACAGAGAGATACTACTTAAACTTAGCCAAATGGTTCTAGCCGGTAGAACGGAGGCGAGTGCAGACAAACTGAAGAGAGTCTTCATTGGAGATTCACGCAGAACCTCTCGGTGCATTGAACTTGACCTCGAATCCTGAACGGATAAAATGAGTATTTTTTGTGGCCGGTCAACCTGAGCAATGCAGACGTATATTGCTGCTGGCTTCGACAGGGGTTATAATATAAATATTGGAGGCGCGATAGATCCGAATGACGTGACAGCTTCTAACTTTGCGAGACGCGTCCCCCACCTTTTGAAAGCAGATAATTTCCCTCATTAATCATATGCCGCAAGCAGGTTTTCTGAATCAAGTAATTGCGAAATTAGCCCAATTCCTTCAATGTGATCTTTTTCGGCGAAAAGCCGCTAAGATGAATTCGCGACTCCAGCAAAACGGACGCCACCAAGCGGGAAAGCCGGAAACCAGCCGGTCCAGGTCGTTCCGCGCTCCTCCGCGTCTCTGGTGGCTTTCGCGGACACGTGTTGTCGGAGCGATGGTGAACAATGTAATTTAACGAAGGTCCGAGAATTTCTTAAGTTTGCCTGAGTGTTCATTAGTGTGGCGAAACCTCAGTAGATTGTTTCCTTCCATCACGTGTTTTCAATTTCTTGGATGAAGAGGAATCGCGGAAAAAACGTTTCGATTTCTTGTCTGTCTCGAATCACATTCAAAATGACGACTACTTGGTAATTGATAAGGGGTTTCTTTATGAGGATGTAGAACAGGTGCGAGGACGACAGACGAGGCATTTCACTGTAGGGAACACCAATGCTGCAGTCAAGTGAATGGGAAGGTTCGATAGCTGCTTTTCTTGGGTTTGGTTGTGTTCGATTAGCCTCAAGTTTGAGCCACCCACGCCGGTCGTTGCGTTGGCTATTCATCTTGGCTGCTTTTCGCCGAAACATCCTCTGGACCACTCTGAAGGAGTTGGGCTGATTTCGCAATTACTTCATTCAGGAAAACCTGCTCGCTGCAAATGATGAATGAGGGAAATTAACAGTTTTCAAAAGGTGGGGGACGCGTCTCGCAACGTTAGAAACTGTCACGGCATTATGATCTATCGCGCCCCCAATATTTATATTATACCCCCGTCGAATTAAGCCAGCAGCGATATACGTCTACATTGCTCAGGTCGACCGACCACAAAAATACTAATTTTTTCTGTTCAGGATTCGAAGTCAAGTTCAATGCAGAGAGAGAGGTTCTGCGTGAATCTCCAATGAAGACTCTCTTCAGTTTGTACGCATTCGTCTCCGTGCTACCGGCTAGAACCATTTGGTTAAGTTTAACTTAGTATCTCTTTGTCTGTCAAATATATTTTTATTCAGCAGTTTGCCTAATAGCTAGTTAACTAAGCTCATATTTCAAACCGAAGAATATACTAATATAGCTTTAGTGGGACATAGTACGTAATATAATGCATAACCCGCTCGTCAAAATGACTTCTCGATTGCTACTAAAACCTGAATTGAAATACGAGTATCAGCTGCTTAGTGGGGAGCCGGCGGGTTAACATGCTCATTGGCTCAAGAAGCGCTTGCTTAATTTTCGTAATTTTCTTGCAGCCGGTGTTGTTGACCGAGCATACGACTGAAGCTGTTTCTTAAACGCGGATACGCACAAAAGGTCGATTTCGCGGGCAGATTAGTCGCATGGTCGAGGCATGCGAGTTGGCTGAAAATTACTGTTGGTGGGAGAATTCTGCATTCATTGCCGCTTTCCTTAGATGATCAAAACTGATTAGTATATTACCGTCTTTCCAGAGCCCATAGTTTCGGTTTTGAACAAAATCTCCGAAACGAAAGTTTGACATGAAAAGAACAAAAAACACAGTTGGAAAACAAAACTATGCTCTGCAAGTTTATGTGCACCGGCTACACTTAACCGCCTCAGTTCAAATATCTATAAAATTGGGCATTAAACAAAAGAAAATCTGTTAAATTGAACGCGCCACCTGTTCAGGCGGCCCGGCCAAGCCGACGCGACCTGGACTCAGCCGCCATGTTTGTTTGGTGGTGGCGCCCCCTATAGGTCGCTGGAGTCGCGAATAGCCAACGCACCGGCCGGCGTTAGTGGCTAAATTAACCTGAAGCTAATCGAGCACAACCAAACTCAAGGAAAGCAGCTATCGAACCTTCCCATTCACTTGACTGCAACATTGGTGTTCCCTCCAGTGAAACACTTCGTCTGTCGACCTCAGTCCACTGTTCTACATCCTTATAAAGAAACCACTTATCAGTTACCAACCAGTCGTCACTTTGATTGTGATTAGAGACAGACGAGAAATCAAAACGTTTTTCTGTGATTCCTCCTCATCCAACAAATTGAAAGCACGCGACCGTGTGTTGTGGAGTAAACCGGCTTTCAAACACGTGATGGAAAGAAACAATCTACTGAGGCTTCACCACACTAATGAACACTCAAACAAACTTAAGAAATTTTCGGACCTTCGTCAAATTACATTGCTCGCCCCCGCGCCGACAGCACGTGTCCGCGAAAGCCATCAGAGACGCGGCGGGGCGCGGAGCGACCTGGACCGACTGGTTCCCGGTTTTCTTGCTTGGCGGCGTCCGTTTTGCTGGAGTCGCGAATAGTGACTGAGGCCAAAACGTGAGGCAAAAGGAGAGAAGCACAACTCAAGCTAGGTCCCTCGGCAAGACCACGGCGCCCGTGGCGTATCTCCGACTGGTGCGTCTACAACATCCTCAAATGCGGTCCCTCAATTTATGCCTTACATAATATTAGTGTCGTTGCCAGCTGCAATCCTGGCAGTGGCACGACAAAGGAAGTGGATGCAACAGACGCCCATTCCGTCGCAGGTCGCTCTGCAAACAGTCGACGGAAACAAGAGCAGACGCAGGACGGGACGTCGCGACGGCAATGACTGCGAGTCCACTCCTCTTTTTTTCTGGCACCACTAGAACCAACCGCCAGTGTCGCAACGTCCAGCGGTGTAATTTGTTGCCACTTCATGACTACTTTCGACACATGGGCAATTTAGGACATCCCAGTCAAAGGCACGTTTCAGACACAGTAGTGACGCGGCAACTAGCGCGCTCCCGCAGAAACTTGGCCCGAACATAGGCCCCCGGGAAACGGATGGCCGCACTCCATCACCTGTCCACGTCGAAGTCATCCACGTCGAAATCGTCCACATCCCAGTCGTCCGGCAGGTCCGTCCCTTCGCCGCAGCAGGGTCCCTCCCGAACCGTCCTCTGCGGAGGCGGGCGGCGCACATTCTCCTTCTCGTCCTCTGGATCTGCGTCTCGCTTCCTCTTGACTGACGTGTACGCCCCGAGGCCTCGGTCGCTGGCGTCCCTTGCGGGGCCCGTCAACCTCTGAGCAGGGTCAGCGAGAGAGGGTATGGTCCCACCCTCGACCTCACCGCCATCTTTGACCTCGGCTGTGCCGCCACGTTTGACCTCCGCCGCTCTGCACTCTTTGACGGACGATGCGGAGCGGCCAAACACGTGGGGATTCTTGTCTGGCGGTGGCGCGAGAACTGCTTTGTCACCTGTGTCAATCGAGGCCCCGTCTGCTGCAGACGACGAGGTTGGCACCACCCAGTTAGAATCGCGGATCCCATGTCCCTGGGGGTAGAGAAAAAGAAATTAGAGAAAAGTATCTGCAAACTTTCCCCAACTCCGACACAACTCGGTCATGAACCGTCATCATTTTTAAACTGGTTCTATTTGCATGCATGTAGCAACTGGGCACTTCAACTCAAATTTCAAAGCTAAAAATGCCTAGTTTTTGAGGAATAAAAGAGTGCATATGAGGGCAAGGACAGCAGGTGTTCGGCAACTGCCATGTGCATGGTTCAATGGGTAGAAATTTCATTTAATTTCATTTATTTACCCTTATAGGTCCTCATTCGAGGATATTACATGAGGGGAGGGATCATTCACATTTCAGTCACAATAAAGAAACACAAAGCTAAAAAAAAAATGAAACAAAAAAACACAAGGAGGTTAAAACAAAGCAAATATACCATAGAATACCTCACATCCGCCCAGTCCACATTAAGCGCCCATTACCAAATTTGTAAGATCTGAGAAAATACGCACAGTACATTTATACGTAAAATTGATGACCGGACAAGCGCCCATCCCCCATTTTTTTGTGATTATCTGCCAAGTTTGAGTGGACGCTTGCCCGGTATTTTACGGTAACACTTTTCAAAGCACTTTTATAAAACTTTAAAATATAACTTTAAACTAAATTATAACTTTAAACTATAAAAACACTTTTATATAAAACACTTTTCATGCTCAAATTTTTTTTTTTTTTTTTTTTTTTCTATATTGTTAAATTTTGAGATGCCCCAGCCCCGAAATATAGCCCACCCCTATTTTTGGCTTGATTTACTATATTTCTTTAAACACCTAAAGACAGCCCACTTCTCTTAATAGTAGTTTTGGGATCAATGATGGCCTCGGCGTAAATGCGGCTAGTTAGCTATGGTTGGATATAAAAGAATGTTGCTGACTGGGAAGTACAGTCATCTTTGCTTCGTTGCCCTCTGCCACCATAACAAGCTTGGAATGAACACAACCTAAAAGTAGCAATTTTTTTTCACTTTTCTTGATTATACATTGAAAGTTAGCCCACTCCATATTTTCACCCGATATGCTCTTGATGTTTAGTGGGCTATCTCTCGGGATTTTACAGTATATATATTTTTAGGTAAGTACAAGTTGAGACAATGCCTTTAAAAAATCATGTATAAATTCTGTACAGCACCAAAACAATATCCTTAAAAATGTTTGTGACAAAAATTATTGTAGGCTCCAAGATTCTTACACTGACCTTCGAAATAAAAGCAGAGTACATGCAGGCTACAGTTACTGATTATTCAGTCTGTGTATTAAGTCCCGCGCATTCATTTGAATAGAGTTGCACGCTCCAAAATGTTTGTTTGTTTGAGGCCAAAGCTTGTTTCGGGTAATGTACTACGGAAATGAAACAGAGGCAAACGTCAAATATGTCCAGTTTTATAAATATTGCTGCATATCTGTTATTTGTTTAGAAAATTAGTCAAAACATTTTTGACAGGAAAAATTCATGTCCCGTAGCCCCTTTCTTCTCTTCCTATTTGATTCTTTGGCAATGCCCATTAAGAAAGTTCCGTGGCTATTATAAGCAATAAGAAGGTGAGGAAGCAGTTGAATTACCAGTCATTTACATTTTACCTTTTTAGCTTTGTCAAACCATTTTGCTTCTAGCCTCAATGAAAAAGTCAAATTGTGTTCTTATTTTTATTCAAGTTCTTATTTCATAAGATATTTATCTAGGGTTTATTTAGCAATCAAAACCTAGCCCAACATTTAACCTTAATAAAAGATGAAGGTGAATAACAATTTCATGTCAGAATACAAGCGTTTGGCTAACAAAGGAAGTACAGCCGTAATCCACATGAACAAAAATGTGCACTTTTATTTCTATGCTTCATAGTGGCACCATAGAGCAGCGATCGTGGCAGTTTATGCACCATGCGGTATGAAGCGGTCACTAATTGCATGTTCTCTTTTGCAATCAAAATTTATTATTATATCTTATATGGGTTGCGACCGAATCAATGCTGGCGAGAACAAGCAGAAATGTCAAAGTTACGCTTACTACAGCAACTTCCACCACATGTAGCACATCGCAGCTCACAGCCCGTGAAGTGAAAGCTTAGGCCGTAAACGTCCTGTAACATGTAATGCCGACAGGCAGCCAGTCACTCATTCTTCACAGAAACAAAGCAACGGCTTGTAAGTACACCTATGATTGCCTCTATTTCCTTTTCTTCCAACTTACAGTGCCAACAACATTTTTCCAGATAAAGCAGACCACTAAAAAGCTTTCTGTGCGCGATCCCGGAAAATTTCCGGCTCATTTTAGATGGTACCCGATAGTTTATGCCAAACCTAACAAGAATCCGAAACGCAAAAAAGTGGAATAAGGAAGCCCATAGAAAGAGACACACACATGATCTGTGTGTGTCTATTTTTTTATTTTTAGTTTAGGTTTATATGCTTTTTTTCTTATGCGATGACGATGGTGTAGACGTCTACACTAATATTGAGATCTTTGGCCCTATGGCTCTCCCGTCGGGTCTAGACCAACTTTTCGAATAAGCCAGCTCGTCGTAGGGCAACTTGTCGAACAGCAGTTCATCAAAAGGCCATCTTGTCGCCACTTCTTTTGAAGATTTTATTTTGCTTCTATACCTTAATAAGAATATACTTTATGACCAATTCGTGTGGGCCACAATTTGTATAAGGGGCGTTTTGCTCAATGTTCGTGTTGAATCATTCGTGTGTGTGACAGATTAATGCTGTTTTCGTAAAGTACTACCGTTCTCCAATAATGATGTGTCTAGAACGACCCAGGCGCTCCGTAAATATAGAGGCTGGCTTGAGACCGTCTGGCCTTTGGCCATGACACCAACATTGGTGTGTTCCCTTTTACAAGCCTTCTCTCTCTCTTTCTCTCTCCAGTGCACAGATCAGAAATGTTGAGAGAAAGGCAGCGGGGTGCAGTGCGAGCGACGAAGGCAAATGGCATATTAAACTCGATGCAGCCAATCACGCAGCGCCGAAAGTGCATTGTCACGGTGCTCGTCGTCGCTGAGCGTGTGTGATCACTGGCTAAACCAATCAGGTACAGAAAAAGGCGCAGGATCACGCCGCATTCGGTGAGCGTGACTGCTTCAGCCGGTGACAAGAAACGCGCAACAATGATGAGCGCCATGACAATGCACTTTTATCGGCCCATTACTGCCTCCAAGGATCATAGATTTGGCTGCAGTCGGACTTAAAGACCGACCAAAGAAACCATTTTCCGCAAGGTAAGAAAATGCCCCTCGCGCCCCTCCTCTTTTCACCCTCTCCTAAAAGTCACGTGACGGCAGGGGCTTCTTTTGTGTCGGCTTTTCCTGTAGGGATAATCCTCAAAAAGAGCAAAATGAGCGACTAGCTGCGAGTGCCACAACGACCTTGAGACTTACAGGTGTCTTCCCTCGTTGTTGCGGGCACGCTCAACCCGCGAGACTCAGCGCGACCGAACGCTTTTTTCCATGAGCTGCAGGCCCGAGGCCGCTCGGTCGGTGGAGTGGAAATCGAGGGGCCGCCATATGCTAGGGTCGTTCCAGCAGCCACGCTCTGGCATCGCGCGACTGATGGAACCATTCCCGTGTCGGCACAAGGATTGGCTTGCGCAATAAAGAGTTCAAGTCGTCGAGTATAAATTTCTTTCTGAAACATAAAAATCAAGTGGCTTTCCCTAATCTCTTCATTACTGTTCGAAACATATATCCCCTCTCATAGGTTGGTCCTCCCATTTTGCACTATTTTGCGTATTTATTCTTCCTTACCTCTGCTTGATGACTGTTTTATAACTTGAAAAAGGCATTTAAATGTTGGCGCGGGCTTCCACAATGATCGCTGTACCGGATTTATCCAATATTGGAGAAGACTGGCGTCAGGAGGGTGGAAGAAGCAAACCGAAATGCTGGCTTCTAATGAAGACGGCGCAATCGTAAGATATGTCTTTGCTTCATCTGCCTACACAGCGCCCCATCGTTTGCACTATCACAATTTCTTTGTAACCTAGCCGAGTACCACATTTTACTCATAGTTACTAGAGATGTGGCCCCACAGGCTTTCCCGTTATGAGCGAGTCGATTTTTTAATGACCGGCGACTCTCCTGAGTAAGAATAAATATTATCACCTTCCCACAACAACCACCCCTTTCTCTCCCCCCCTCCCCCACCCCCTTTTTTTCCGAGTTGGGGAGATATCAGGCCACTCCATGAATCAGCCTGCAGACTGCGCTTTTTGGCTACTCATTCTCAACACATTCAAACGTGGAAGTAAACACAATGCATGAAAGACGCCCAGTTTATTTGCAACCTAACTAATGTGGATCTACTGTTGGGACCCAATCAATTTCATCATCAATCAATCTTTGTTATGATTTCATGGTGAAAGTGTGTTCGTCGTGATGCCACAGAAGTGATCGATCCAAAAGGAGAAATACGTCCTCGTATTTATTTTGCGAAAATATGTGCTCCTGTGACGCTCCAGTGCGTAAGGTAAGGTAAGGTATTACGCACCCAAGGCAGTGCGTAATATTTTACAACTGTCGTTGACAATGAAATATTTGTGGGAAGTGCATAAAATTGTTTACACCGTATTGTAGCACCCTAAAAAACAAAAGCATACTTAAACACAACAAAATGTTGCAATCGAAAAAAAAAAAATTCAGCCTGAGGAAATTGTTGCTCCCACCTCTCTCTCTCTTTTTTTTCCGCGCAACTAAAAAAATAGCAGCCGAGCAACGAATATCCATCAAAACCTCGCTTCTTGGAGAAAGGACTCCAGGGTATACACGAACTCATCTCTGTTACGTCATGGCGCGGTGGTGGCGCATTGGGCGCACTTCCGGTCCGTGCTGTGGGCAGAAGTCCCCTTGTGAGACGTGTATTCCTGCGTTGTTTTGAAAGGAATCTGACAAAAACCTGCCTTCTCGTCAAAACGCCATGACTGGGGCTGTACCAAAAGAGTCGAGGAAGGTTTGAAGATCAGATTTCATGTGCTCGGT